GGGCTGGCGAGATAGCTTAGCAGACTAAGGTCCAGATTTGGCAAACACAGGGACTAGGGTTCAATCCATGGTCCCATGTGCTGTGCCAGCCCTGCCCTGCCCCGGGGTGCCCCGAGCTAGTGGAGGAGTCAGGGCGTAGTGGCTCAGCCCTGTAATCCTAGCACTGGGGAAGCTGAAAACAGGATCCCTAGGAGTCTGAGCTATGTAGTGAGACTCTAACAAATACATAAGTGGAAAAAAAAGATACAGAAATTAGATGATGGATTTTAAACATGGACTTTTGTAGCAGTGAAAGCATTATTTTGCAGCAGTTGGTATTTGAGGAACAATGTAAATTAGGCTATACTGTATAAATAAAATCAAAACAGACACACAAACTAGAAGGCAGGGTCCTGTTTTGAAGATCCTCAACATTGTGGGGCTGGACAGATAGCTCAGCAGTCTAAGTATCTGCCTGGCAAGTACAAGGTCCCAAGTTTGATCCCTGGTACCACATTCTGAGCTGGCCCTGGAAGAGGCTCCAAAACTGGGTGTGGTGGCACGCGTGTGTAAATCCAGTGCTGGGGAGGCTGAGACAAGAGAATCACTACAAGTCCAAGACACCCTGTATCAAATAAGTAGCATTGTTTATGACCTGGTACACTTAAAGCATAAATTACCCACAGCCGTTAGAGCATTTAAATATTGGCCCTGAATGCTTGAATGTGTTAACATTTTTCTCTTACGTTTGGCTGGCTTGCTGTCTATAATTGCACTTGACTCAGTTTTTAATACATTAGCCACATGATTCGAGGTAGAAGTGATTTTAGAAGGGAAGGGTAGGGGTTGTTAACTGGCAGTTCACATACATTTTTATGAAATGAAAGATTTCTGGTTCTACTGAATTTAGATTTGCACTATTACTCCCCATCCAAACATCTAGTATTTTGGTTTTGAGGGGGAGGGGTGTACCAGGGATCAAACTAAGGGCCAGACAGGCGCTTATGCTGCTGAACTACCTCCTCAGCCCCATCTAGTGTTTTTGAAAGTATTCGGTGCCCTTTTATTATTTGCATTTGATCAAAACTAGAGTTTATGGGCTGGTGAGATGGCTCAGTGGTCTAAAGCACCCACTTAGAACAAGCTAAGCTAAGCAAAGCACAGGGACCACGGTTCAATCCCCCAGCACCACATGCCAGCCAGCCCCGCCCCCTGGTGGGCTGAGCTGGCCACACACACACAAAATAAATAAATAAATAAATAAATAAATAAATAAATAAATAAAAAAAAAAAAACCAAAAACTAGAGTTTATTTTTGTTCTCTATTTTCAGATGTTATTGACTAGCATATCACTTAGAATTATAGAATTTTGGACTTGAAAGGAATCTTAGGGCTTCTGCTTAATTTATATGTAAATGACATAGGTCCAAAGAAGTTTCTCACCCCAAAGTACGTACCTATCTCTAGGAGGAGGGGCCTAGGATTACCATTCTAACTGCACATTGTCTCTTCTTGTAACCTCCTGTGCACAAATGTGAGTTTTCTCTGCAGAGATGGCACAGGTATCACCAAGTCTAATACATGATGCCATAGCGACTGTCTTCTCCAGAAAACACAGGCCACCATTCCACTGTCTCTCATTCTACTGTTGGTATCCATGAGGTAGGAATGTGACATTTGTCCCTTGTGGTACCTGTTAGTAGCCATCAGAAGTCACCAGCCAGAGAAGATGGGTCAGTCAGCTGAGGCCAGACGGGGACAGCGACACCTCTGAGGTTCCTGGCTTCTGGTAGCCAGTAACATTGTGGTTACCCAAAAGTTGGGGACAGGTACCGAGGCTGTACCCACTCCTGTCCTGTTCGGTTTGTGCTCTGACAGAACCTGAAGTTATTTTTGTGTTGAGTATAACAACCCGGTTGTTAATGTTCATGAAATCCTTCTGGTGAGAGGGTGGCAGCTCAAGATGATTCTCCAAATATAAAAATTACAGGGTTCATATGTAAGTAAACTTCATCAGCAACTTAAAAACTTCAGTGTCCCTTGAGGTATAATTTACACACTGTGCAATTCAAATTTACAGTGCTGTGTAGAATACTGATACTTGCAAACATTACCAATTTTAGAACACTTCATGTCAAAAAAATTTATACCTTAGCTATCATTCCCTATGTGACTTCTCTCAACCCCCGCCTGAAGCAACCACATGACCCTTTTTCTATGTCTAGATTTCCTTTTCTGAGCTTTACAGAGTGGGATCAAATAATATATGTTTTTACACCAGCATCTTTTGTGTAATGCTTAAGGGTCATCCATGTAGTGGCATGTGTTACTGCTTCATTCCTTTTCAGCAGTGACCACTGTTCTGCTGCATGGAGTACCATGTGTTGGGATCCGCAGGAAGCTAGGAAATTGATCAAATGTGTGTAGGTGGGATTGGGCCTCAGGGCCTAAAGCAAACAAGCTATCTCACTCCTGAAATAAGCATCCTGTCTGGTTAAGGTCAGCTACTCGTCCCTAGGCAACCTTGTGTCACGTGTTACTAACTTTGAAAAAGTATAAAAGATCGTTTCGTTGTGCGTTACCTTAGTATCGCCCATCAGGCAGACCAGCGACCACCTAGCCCAGCTTTTGTCTTCTCATCTATCTTTCTCATTCCTGCCGCCATTCTCCCTCGGTAGAGCCAATCGCAGTGGGACCAACAGATCCCTACAGCCATGTTCTTTATCCATTTGCCAGCTGATGGACACTTGAGTTCTTTCCACCTCTGGCCATTACAGACTGCACTGCTATGAACGTGCATACAACTTCTTGTGTCAACACTTGGTGCATTTCTCTGGGTGTAGGCTGAAGAACTGCTGGGCTGTGAGCTTCAGCATTTTGGTGAACTGGCAGTTTTTCAAAGCAGCTGCACTGTTTTATCCTCCCTCAGATTTCTCTACATCCTTGCCAGCTCCTGAGTTTTGTTTCTTTATATGTTTAGTACAGGGTCTGCAGGGTCTCATTACACAGATCAAACTCGTAATGATCCTCCTGCTTTCAGCTTCCCAAGAGGATTTTTCTTTTTTCTTTTGTTTGGTGGTACCAGGGATTGAACTCAGGACCTTGGTGCTTGCCAGGCAAGTGCTTGTTCCACTGAGCTATCTCCCCAGCCCCCGGATTTTTGTTTCTTAAAGTGTCTTCAAATTGTTCTCAGTGCCTCTCCCCTGCTAATGTGGCCAGGGGACATAATTTGTTTTATTTTTATCCATTTATTTAGGAGGCAGGCTTGTTTTATGGACCACTGCATTGTTTTGGAGAGCCTTCCCACATGTACCCAGAGCAGAATGCTCCAAAGGACCTGGAATGGAGAGTTGGCTGAGCCAGAATTGGGCAGGGCAGGCATGGGCATCTTGCTGACACGCCTCGTCTGCTGTTACAGTCCAAGTCTGGGCTGTGGATCATTTGTTTCTCCGTGCCGAGCCCCTGTCTTGACACTGTCCTCCATATAAAATGCTCCTCAGCATAGCACTTTGTTTCTAAAACCTGTTTTGTCTATTGTGGGATTCACTCTAGCTTTCTTGTTGTTGATATTTGCTTGGCTGTAGCATCTCCCATCCTTTAGTTTTCAGTTGCTCTCCACCTTTGGATCCGAGGTTATCTCACGTGTAGGTTAGGCATGCAGCTCTTGAGAAAATTGTGTTTTGGTGTGGGAGGCCCTAGGCTCATCCCCCAACCCCTCCCCCCAAATCTGTTCCTATTCAGTGCTCTTACTAGTATGATTGGATTCAGGACTCATTATACTTTATTTGGTTTCTGGCCTTTTT